TATTTATCGATCACCTACCTCTGGGTGGCGGTGGTTTACCTCGGCGGTCGGTTTTCCCAGGAAGGACACTTGTCACCCTCTGGGCCAGGTCCCCAGCAGGGGGCACGACAGAGGCACCCACACCCACGGATGTTTCTCTCCCTCTCTTTCTCCCTCCCTTCCCCTCTGTCTAAACATAAATTAAATCCATCACAGTTTTGGCTCAAACGTCCAGGGCAAAAACCCTTTAAATTTTTTAATTCAATTATTTTATTTCTACAGGAAACCGATGATGGTATTGCAGGGCATGGTTTGGCATATGGGTATTGTCACTGCTTTCTAGAGTTACACGTTTGATGCATGACCACGAATGAAAGAATGGACAACATTTAGGTAGATACAGAATGAGTGCTACCCATGTATATAACGTGTCTCCTTATCTGCCCCTCAAACATGTGGGCAAAGTGGTGTGCATTATACACGGCAAAACATGCTACTTGGTGTGGGGAGGAACTCAGCATGCAGAGTAGGGTCAGGCTGACCGGGCAGAGGGTGGCAGGGTTATTCTTCCTTTGGGGGGGTTTGCTGGGGACGGGCTCTGAGGCAGAAGCCCGCCATGCTTCCACAATCGTGTAGCTTTTGTACGTTCTGTTGTTTTTCCTTTGCAAGCTAGCCCCATACGAACAAGATCGCAGAAGGAAGTCACCGGGAAAAGCTGGGAGAACTCGGGTGTCCGCGTTCAGCCTTAACTGATGGCCTTCAGTGTCTGCTTTTGAATCAAGACGCCTTTTCCTTTGTCGCCAAAGGTTTGCCTCTGGAATTTTCACCTCCGGGGGGGGGGCAGCGGGACCCCGAGTGCTGTTTCGTGACGATAGATGGAGACCGGGGAGGCTGCTGAGCACCCTAGGGTGCCCAGCACACCCCACATCAGAGACTCCCGGGGGTGTCTGTTGTTCCACATTCCCCAAAGAAAACCCACGACCGTGAACTTCCAGCACGTGGCTCTTGGTGCTGTGTCTTTAGCCACAAGGGACACCTCTGGGCCCCCGAAAACAACCGTCCAAGGAGATCACGTAGGGTGGGTAGCCACGCGACATCAGAAGACAGTGCAGGAGGTGGCGAAGGCAGCTTACAACGTGGACCCGTAGACGCCAGGCGAATTACGGGGAAGAACGGGAGAAAATTCCGGAAGGAGCGACACCACAGACAGGGCACTGGGGGTCTGTCTAGTGCCCTCCACAGAGCAGGGTGGTGGGTGGTCAGCCAGGGGCCGGTCTCCTGATGCAGCTAAGACAGGCGTCTGCAGCCACACGGGGTCCCCGGGGGACTGACCCGGCGCGGCCTCGCCCGCCCAGGAGGCCGCGTTCCCGCCGCTGAAAATAAACACGCAGCCCGCGGGGCCCATGAAAGGGAAACCGCCCGCTAATGAGGATGAGGAGGAGGATGGCCCGGGGCTGCGGCGTTTAATCAAAGGTCGACATTCCGGGGCCAACCGACCCCCACCCCCGGGGGGATCCCCGGCACCCCCTGCTCCCACACGTCCAATTACACAAACCCGACCTTTTGCACCCCTTTGATCTCACCGTGTCACGGCCCGCAAATGTCACGGCCTTTGATTTCAAAGGGGCCGGACGCACCCTCTGTGGGTGCGGGGCGGGGGGCGTCCCCACCCGCAGAGGGTGTCCCACGGAAGGCTGAACACGGAGGAAATGCACACAAGTGAGTGCGCGTCTCAAAGCGCCCTCCTGCCTTTTCCCCCAGCTCTAAACCCGGAACGCTGTTTAGCGTTTCCAGAATTTTCCGTGCACGACATTGCTAGGCCTTTCCACGCGTGCAACTTCTAGTTCTCTGCCCATGCAGTCGTACCGTGTGGCTTCTTGGGGTTCTCGTCGGGCCTCCTTGCCATCAGCATTATTTTGGGACGCAGTCACCTCATCCTTTGCAGCCAACATTTCGGCGCGAAACTCCGTGCTTCCCAACCGCCGGCCACGGAGAACTTCAGAAACACGCAGAGGCAAACCCGCCTCCGGAGCAGCAGCCCCCGAGGCGGCGGCACCCAGACATAGCCCCGCGAAAGGCGTGATTCCCGCGGCAAGAACGTGCAAGCGTTCTCACACGAGGTTTCCATACTCGCAAGATTGCAACAGACAGTTGACTAAACCATCTGTCCGCCCTGGACGGAAAATTCTGCTCTTTTTTTTTTTCCCAATACAGTTTCCCTCTGGGCTCTTCCAGCCTTGTGTGCACCGCGCTCACGTTTCCCTCTGTTTTCTATTTTGCTATGCGCCCCGCCCCCACCAGTAGAGGGCTTGAGGCTGCGCCCCTGGGTGCTCTGCACCCGGCCAGGCTGAGCTGAAAGCTCCCGCAGCACAGCGTGGGCGCACGCAGCTTCCCGGCCTCCCCAGCAGGGGGCAGTCTAACCCCAGGGGGGAATTACACGTTCTGGAAACCACAGCGCCGCGCCCCGGAGTGGCCACTGAAACGGAAAAACGCGGGCCCCTCTCCGCGGTGCCCAGCCCCGTGACAAAGCTCCACCCAGGAGCCCCACGCAGTTGAGGAGCTCGCTGGGTTCCGGTCCCCACACCCCCCTCGCCGGACCACATGCTTCCAGGGGGCACAGGATTGACGTTGCCCTTCCAGTGGTCACGCAAGAAAATAAAAGCAAGGGCGGGGGGTGGGGTAGACACGGGGACGCGTCGTTCTGGCCGAGGTCGGCTGCAAATTTGGAAGTGTGGGTGTTTTTCAAAGAGGGCAGCGTGGCCGCCCAAACGTCAGGTCGCCTGGAACCAGCCTGGGATTTGCAAAAAAAACGTCCCGGAGTTTCCGCAGGGAGAGCCGCCGCGGGTTCACCCGAGGATGAGGCAGCAGCGCCCCCTGCTGCCCGTTGTCAGAACTGCTCATTCACGTCTGCTCGCCTGCACCGCCTGGGACGTGTCTCGGGGTGGGGGGGTTGGAAAGGACCCTTCTGTCCTGTCTGTCCTTCTCCTGGGGGTCCTGAGCAGGCCTCCCGGGGAAACCGGGGTTCCAGGACTTCGCCCTGACTCCTGGCTCTGGGTTACGGAAGGCGGGTGGGCAGGATATGCCGCAGGTGGGCGAGCCAGGGGCTGGAGGGTGGGGAGTGGATGGGCAGGGGCGGTTATTAGGTAACACTTGGGAGCGTCAGACAGGGCGGATGAGAAAAGCGCACCAGCGGGCTGTGCACATACGTGAGTGTACATCACGCTACTCCGTTGTGCCATTAACAGTCCGCGAGGGCCTTGGAGGAAAGTACAGGTTGGAGGTTACAAAACTGTGGCAGGCATATAAAGGGCAGCCCGGGGAACAAAGCCAATAATATCGTAGTAATTGTGTGTGTGTGGGGGGGGGGGCCCGCTGGGTGCTGCAGACATCGAGGGGACCACTTTCTAGGGCGCGTGTGCACGTGTCACCACCGTGCCCTCCGCCTCAGACTCCCATCCTGCGGGAACATGGGCTGCAATTCAACAATAAAAATTTAAAAAGTCCAAGGCGGTCAGTGAGGGCTGGACGCTCTTGATTCTGCCACAAGACAAGGAACCCGTGGCCGTTTTAACGCCGAGTGCTCTGCAAGAAGGCAGGCAGGGAGAGGCGGACGCCGTGGGATGGTCCCTTGCAGGTGCAATACAAAAGGAAACCGGGGAAAGGGAACTCACGGATACAGGGGAGCTGACGGAGCCACCCCAGGGGGCGGCGGAGGCCAGGTGGGTGGGGCCAGAAAAGAGGGAGGAGCTTGCAGGCGGGCAGCAGCTCCAGACACCTCCGGGGTGTCGCTGCGGTGCAGCGTGCTGACCGCAGTCAGAATCACCCCGCTGTGTGCGCGTGCGCGCGGCCAGGAGGCTAGATCTTAAGAATCCTCATCGCCGGGAAAGACAAGGCGTAACTGTATGTAGGACATGGGGGATGTTCACCGAACACATAGTGCGCCGATCCGTCTGCAAGACGAACCACGACGGACTCGTGATGTCTGACACCGAAAACTAGCAACATGGGCCCTGCCAACCTCCCATGGGCAGTACCGGGGCATTTATAAATAATGCTCAACGCATCCTAAAGGCTAACAGAAGACTGGTGAGATTCGGATCTGCGCCTTCAAGACATACGCACAGAACGTCTCGCCCACACTCCGGGCAGGGCTGGAGAATGAAGAAAAGGAAAAAAATTAAAAAGGCTGGAAAATCCTCGATCACACTTCCTGTGTCCTCCCTGCCCTTGACACAGGGGTGAGGAGGACCTTCCCAGTGTGGGGTGTCTGGGGGATAGCCAGTCCCAACTCCAAGAGTCACAGTGCAAGCCCTGGCTGGCGTAGCTCAGTGGATTGAGCGCGGGCTGCGAACCAAAGCGTCGCAGGTTCGATTCCCAGTCAGGGCACATGCCTGGGTTGCAGGCCATGGCCCCCAGCAACCACACACTGATGTTTCTCTCTCTCTCTCTCTCTCCCTGCCTTCCCTCTCTAAAAATAAATAAAGAAAATCTTTAAAAATAAAAGAGTCACCGTGGAAGATGGCAGCCCGTGTACCTTCTGCTGAGGGGGCGATGCATGTGTCTTTCCCCACAGAGGTGGTGGGACAGGACCCTTGGGAGGGACCTGCGTGTCCAGAAGCTGCTATAAAGTTAGACACGGAATGAGCGGACTCGATCCCGGGGCGGGGGGGGGGTGCGGGGAGCTCCGCTACAGAGGGGATGTCGAGTCCCTCGTGGGGACCTCACGACAGACCCGGTGTGGGCCTCTGGTCGGGAAACGTAGGCGCCTGGGATGCAGCGGGGACAGTCCCAGCACATCCAAGCACGGGGACGGCCGATGGCACGGGGAGGGACAGAGTGGGCAGGGGGAAGGGGACAGGTCATTCCAGGACCCGCTGCACCAGGGCAGTCAGCAAGGGCCCAGAGAAACCGCAAGTCCCTAGCACGAAAGACAGGACCCGTCGCTGAGGCCACCTGTTGGTAACGGCATCTGTGACTCCCCGGTGGGGACGGGCCTGCGGGGGGTGGGTGGGGGCGGGGTATCACTTCCTGGCCAGGATGGCGCCGTAGAGGCCCCAGGTCGCACGGCACTGGACGCCCTGGAAGCCGGCGGCCGCCAGCAGTGCGCGGTACTGGGCGGGGGTCCGCTCCCGGCCCTCCGTCTGCGCCAGCATGTTCAGCGAGTACAGCTGCGTGGTCAGCGGGCCCCGGCCGTCTGCGTCCAGCAGGCTCTCGACGACCAGGACGCCACCTCCTGTGGCGGGAACAGGCGGGCCCGCGTGAGGGGCAGACAGACAGGCCTGCGGACTCCCCCAGCCTCCTCCTCCTCCCTGTGTGCTTTCCGAACCCCAGCCCCCCTGCCCTGGACACAACTGGGTCCTCATGGACACTGCGGACTCCACGCTGACACCCGTCCTTCTTTGCAGCTGGACACACGGAAGCACGGTCCTCACGGACCTCCAGGATGCAGGGGGACTGCTGGGACGGTGTCCCCGCCACCCACAGCAGCTGCGCCCACGTCCTCGGGGACCATCAGGACGAACGCACGTCACAGAACGGCTGCGAGGGCGCTGCCATCACACCACCTACCCGGCTTGCAGACCCGATGGACTCTGGCCAGCAGCCTCGTGCACTTCTCGTCGGCCCAGTCGTGCAGGACCCTGGCCAGGATGTACAGGTCTGCGTCGGGAAGGGGGTCTCTGAAGAAATCTCCTGTGACAGAGGGCAGGGCCCGGAGGTCAGCCTGCAGTGCAGGTCCCATGGTCTGGACCCCGCCCAGCACGGCAGGTCACCGGGGTGGGGAGTGCAGAGCTTCCCTGAGGTCTTCCCAGCTAGGGAACCCCCCAGACGATGCCCCGAACCAGGACATGTTTCGGTGAAGACGAGACAGTTGGCAGGATGGGGGGGGAGGGGTAGGCTCTTTCCCTCCATGGGGTCTGGAAAAGGGTCTTGTTTTGGTTGCACGTCCTGCGTGCCAGCAGCTCTGCATGGAAAGGAGGCTGTGGGCGGTGGTTCAGCAGCACCCCGGGGGGGAGGAGTTCAACAAAACCAACGTCTTTGAGGTTGAAAACAAGTGTGTCCAGGACACACCCTTCCTTACACCCACGTGGTGTCAACCACTCAGCTCTTGTGAGGTTTCTCCTGCCAAGCACGCATCTGCTTTGCCACAGACCTCAGATGGCCCTGTGCCCTGCGGGGTCCCCTCAGGGCCTGTGTGGACGCAACTCTGCAAGGTCTCAGGAGTTTGAGGGGATGCGTGGTGTTGATGGGGCGCCGGCCGTTTCCGGCCTCTGTCCCCGGAGACACGGCGCTGAGGGAGGGCGCTGCACCCCCCGCCGTGTTGGCAAGGGGAGAGGAAGCCCCATTCCGGGTCTTGGTTGAGAGTTCTCTTCAACGTGTGAATCGGTAACTGTCCTGTGATCTGGCCTTTGGCATGTGCCACGTATTTCGATTCACGGGTGCTCTGACAGTAGAAACCTGTAGGAGGCTCCTGCGCTGGTTGTAATGAAGTAGCACCTGATGGGACACGTCTGAGGTCACCCAGGGGTCCCGGGACCCTGCTCCCTCCACAGGCTCCAGGGAGGGTCCCTCCCCACTCTTCCAGCTCCTGGGGCCCCAGGCATCCTTGGGCTGGTGGCTGCGTCCCTCCCGTCTCTGCCTCCACCTCCACGTGGCTTCTCCTCCGGGTCTGCGTCTCCTCTTCTGTCCCTTCTCAGGACACCGTCACGGGAGGTAGGGCCAGGATGACCTCATCGGAGATCCTTCACTTCCGTATTTCCAAATAAAGCCCTGCTCCCTGGTTCTGAGTGGACACGGGTTTTCGGGGAGCACTACTCAACCTGTACAATCCTCAAGGGAGAATTAACATTTTTTAAAAAGTGATATGGCTGCAGCACGCTTTTCCACCGTCCGTGAGGACCCTTCCACATGCCGGGCGGGGAGGCTGAGGACACTGCAGGACCATCGGCCTCTCGTAGAACCGGGATGAATCTACGTTGCCCCCCAAGGGCACAGACAGGCAGCCCGTGAGAACCCACCTTCCTGGAAGGCGATGCGTCCTTCCTGCAGGAGCGGGAAGTGCTTCCTCGCCGTCCGCACCACTGCCGGGATGTCGAAGACGGTCACCTGACAGCCGGGGTACAGAGACACGCACTCCTTGGCCAGCGCCCCGGAGCAGCCTGGGAGTGGACACGGAGGGTGGTGGGCAGAGCGGACCCTGGGTTCAGCCGGCGTGGGCCCCAGCGGGTCCAGGTGGCGGACTTGGCCGTCACAGCCACAGTGTAACCCACATGCCCTTGAGTCAAGCAGGTCCTCCTACCTGGCCCCACCCGGAATCCCACCTGCAATGCAGTGTTTGAGCTGCGTCCTGCTGGGGCCAGGGCCTCCGTCCACCCAGGGCAGCCTACAGCCTCGTGGAGAAGGAAGCAGGATGCCCCAGGGAAGCAGGACACCCTGGTGGGAAGACATTTCCCGGGACCACCGAGATGCAAAAACTTCCTGATGCCCTGCGTCTGGGAGACCTCCCTGGGGGACTCCTGGCCTGTTTGCTCCCCCAGGTCCCCCTCTCCCGCCCCAGCCAGGGAGGACCATTCTGCCCTCTGCTCTTGTTCATAGAGCTCAGGGCCATAGAGAAACCAGCCCGTTCCCCGGAGAGCCTTCTGTGTCCCCGGCGGTGACCCAAGGTCACACATGCCACACATGGGATCACCCCACTTCTCAGGGAAACTGGGGCTCAGGGAGACAGCGCAACCTGGCCAAGGCCACACAGCGAGCAAGAGACGGAAACCCCTTATACATCCAGGGGTGGCTCTCCCCACATGGCTCCTGCTGCCCGTGGGGAGTGCAGGGGGCAGCAGTGGCTAAGGACGGTCTTTCTCAGGGAGCTCTGTGCACCCCCTTCCTCCCACCATCTTACAGGATTTGGGGGAACCCCGGCAGGCGGCCCACCAAGGCCTGGCACTGTGACTTTATCACTGGAAGCTCAGCCGGAGCCACCGAGCCCCCACTTGGTTGGAAGAGGGAGGACCCCCAGTTCAGGAGGGTCACCTTGGGCCGGTGGCCCCCAGCAGGTGTCCTGAACCCCAAATCCTCATTTCAATAGGTGCTCATGCTTTCTGTGCCTTCTGTCGGGGACGGCAGCCAGGCGTCAAAACAGACAAGGGACACCTGTCCCTCAGTGATGTCACTACCACCTCAGCTGCAGTCCACCTTGGCATCCCCTCAGACAAGGAGGAGCACCGCCACCCCACCCCCCCACCCCGCTCCCAATGTAGGATCTGCCCTGCCCAGCACGGGACTCTTAGAAGGTGTACACGTCACGTGTATGTGTGTGTCTTCACATCCACGCTAACATCAGCTTCCTAAGTTGAGGGTGGCGTCTGCCCTCCCAAACCCACAAACCCATCCCGACCCTGGGGTCTCAGACAGCACCCCCCTCCACCAGGAAGGTGATAGGACAACTGTCGACTCCATGCCTCCGTGAACTGCATCCCGGCAGCTGGGTGAGGGGACGGGACGACCCCTTGGGCGAAAGCCTGCATCCGGAGGTTCAGTGGCACCAACATCCGTACTGTATCCACGCCCCTGCGGGCTGGTCAGAAACTCGGACTCTGCGTCTCAGCCACATGTGCTGGCTCAGAGCTTCCAAGGGTGGGATGCTCGTATCCGAGTTGTCACAAGTGTCTCTGTCCCCCCCCCCACCTGTCCAGCTCTCTCTTCCGACCTTGTTGGTGGGCTACAGATGGTGGCCTGCTCAGGTTGCAACAGCCTTCAGGCTGCGACAGAAGGCTTTGCCTGCTGCCCTACATTCCCACGTCGCTCCTTCCCTAGGGCACAGGGCGCTATGCAAACAGGGGTAAGACGCTCCCCATAGGCGACGTGAGAGGCGGCTCCGACGCCGGCAGAGGACACTCACCCCCGAGGTCACAGATGAGGGGGAAGGGGGACAGGTCGAAGGCGGCCATGACGCTTCTCCCCTGGACGCTCCAGATGTCCTGCAGGGCTCGCATGAACTGCAGCTGCTCGTCCTCGGACCTGACACGTGAAACCACACGCGTCAAAACCGTGCCACGCCCGCTTGGTCGTCGTGAGCAAGGACACGGGGAGCCCCCTGCTGGGCAGAGCTGTGCCCCCAGGACCTGTTGGGGTAGCACTGGAGACGTGGAATCCGTGTGGAGGACAAGAACCCCATTCCGGGTGGTGAGAGCTCCCGGTTGGCCGCCAACATCTACCCGGCTCCCGGAGTGCGGCGGAAACCCACGCCTGTCTCTGGAGCCACAATGGGTGACCGTCTCCCTCCGAAGAAGAGCTCAGAAGCTCTCCGATCGGGGAACCCCAGACGGTGCCCCCCACCCCACAGGGCAGAGGCCAAGACCACATGGGCAGTAGTTTGCAAGTCTACAGGAGATGAGGCAAGGAATGCAAACTGGGGGTTCGGGACGGTGGGCCACAGAGGGTGGGAGCAGGCGGGGTCTCGGAAGTGGATGGCGATGAGGAGGAGCCAAGGGTGATGGGCGGATGAGGAGGTGGACAGATCTCTGGCTGGGGGGAGGGGGGGCATTTTCCTGCCCCGCCCGTCCTCACAGTTCCTCTCTCCTCTGCCCCCTCTCTGGAGGCAACCATGTGGGTGTGGTCTCAGTGTGGGGACAGAGAAAGGGGATGGGAGAGGAAGCACCACCCGGCCTCCAATGCCAATGGTGCTGAAGCTCAGAAACCTTGTCTTGGCATTTGCATCTGTCTCTCTGTCCATCAACTCTCCTCCACCTGTCATCCATTTAGCTATGTCTCATCTGTCCATCTGTCTGTCTGCCTCCCTGCCCACCGACCTACCTGGAGCTCTCAGGAGCGTCACACCCCCCTCCCCCTCCTTCTTCCCTAGTCCTCTACCAGTCGGCCAGCTGCAAGCACTGGAAATGGCTGGCCGTCAGTGAACTTCACTATCTCAGAATTTTTATTTAAAGATTTTTATTTATTTATTTATTTTTAGAGAGGGAAGGGAAGGAGAGAGAGAGAGAGAGAGGGAGAGAAACATCCATGTGCGGTTGCTGGGGGCTGTGGCCTGCAACCCAGGCATGTACCCTGACTGGGAATTGAACCTGCGATGCTTTGGTTCGCAGCCCGCGCTCAATCCACTGAGCTACGCCAGCCAGGACCATCTCAGAATTTTTACACAGAGCTCCATGCACATGCCCGTGCATGTAAAGGACAGCAAGGACCTGAGTTATTCTCGGGCTTCCTGCACCCGAGCCCAACACGGTGCCTCAACAGGACACTCAGTGGGGTTTGCGTCTAGTCGCCTGAAGGCAGAGCAAACTCTCCAACTACTCAGGAAATCGATCCACACAAGCATTAGTACTGCCACATCTGTTTTCTTTTTTTAAATTTTGCATTAGATATCAATGCCCGTGTGATGTTGCTCTGTGGGGATACATTTAGTCAGCCCGGCAAGGGGAACTCTTTGTAAAGCATGCAATTGTCCAATCCCTATGCTGTAGCCTGGAAAACTCATACAACTGGAAAAAAAAAAAAACCAGTAAAAAGAAACTATTGCATCACCTAAAAAAAATGAGCGGGATCCTCTGAGAGGCGGGGGTGAACATTACCTGTAGATGGCACTGAAGAGCTCGTCCGAGGGAACCCCAAAGGCCTTGTGGTACTGGTTCCTCCCCTCTCTGAAATCAAGGGGGGAGGTGGTCACTGCAGCTCCTCGACATCCCTTGCCCATCAGCGAATGCACACGGAGGGTCACACACCCTGCCCCGAAGTCCCAGGTGGCACAAGCAGGGAGCATCTGAAGTCCCCAGCCACACAGAAGCGTGCTTTCCTTTCTAGGTTAAAATGCATGCGTGTTCAGAATGGCAGTGTCCCCGGCTAGGGCAGTTCTCCCATGTCAGCCAAGCGGGGGCGGGGGGGTGTTGGAGAATTTAAGGGCAATGTAAAGAGGGCGTGAAAATCGTGTGCCACTGGGGACAGCAAAGTCTAGAACAACTATTACCTGACATCTAAGTATGGGGAGTACCCTGTAGCTGGACAGCCTGCTGGTCTGCCTGCAGCTGGAGGGCCAGCTGGTCTACCTGCAGCTGGAAGGCCAGCTGGTGTAACCCTAACCTGCAGCTGGAGGGCTGGCTGGTCTAACCCTAACCTGCAGCTGGAGGGCCAGCTGGTCTACCTGCAGCTGGAAGGCCAGCTGATGTAACCCAAACCTGTAGCTGGAGGGCCAGCTGCTCTAACCCTAACCTAAAGCTGGAGGGCCGGCTGGCTGGTGCACCCCAGCACTTCCTCCTCCTGCTCTTCTTCTTCCTCCTTTCCCTCCTCCTCTTCCTGCCTCTCCCCTTCCTGCTCTTCCTCCACCCCTGCAGCTGGGTGAAGAATTCCTTGGGCACGTGATCCCACCTTAGACAACTGTGTCCAGGTGTCGAGGACAACTGTCTCCCCGTGGCTTGTCCCCTTTCACCCTGTCCTGGCCCCTGCCACCACCCAAACCGGCCCCCTCTCTAGGATAGAGACACTGTTCGGCAGTCCCGGCTTTCTGTCTCCCTGCTGAGTTCCGAATGACTTCCCTGCTTGCCATCTTCAGCTCGCGCCACTGTCCCTGGGGACTCTCGGAGCAAAGGACTTGTTATCACAACACATTTATAGGAAGTGACTTCTGCAGATCTACACCAGGGCACGTCACATCTGCTCTGGATTTCCAGACCGAGAGGCGTCTCATTTGCTTCTGCAAGCAACCTGACACATCGACTCCTCCACACCCTGACACCAGCCTCCGGGGCAGCCCCGGTCTATCACCCACGCCAGCAACGCCACGCCCACCTCACGGCCTGGGCCAGGTGCGCCCAGCACAGGTATGTCGTCCGGGACAAGTACAGCAGCATGTTGTGCTGCGACCTGGGGCTGGACCTCACCAGGTAGGTGCTGGAGAGCTCTGTGTTTTTGTATAAGGCTGAAAACAGACAAAAAGGACAACAACAACAAAGTAATAATAAGTTACATGTCAAGGCATTGCTGCGTGCCATCACCGGCATTGAGAACATCATGGTCTAAATTTGCTCCTCCTCTGTGCGCACACAGGCCCCCATGGCTGGGGGCTCATCCTGAAGGAGCAGGTGGCCAATAGGCAAGACCCCATGGCTGGGAGTCATCCTGAAGGAGCAGGCAACCATAGCTTTGTGTGGGATCCCAACCGTGATCCTATTCCCAGCGTAGCAACTTTCCCCCCCACCCTCTCAGAACAAGAGGACGCTTGCCCTGCTCACGCAGAAGCAGATCTAAGGTGTAATCTGGAACTACGTCTGAACGACATATCATCACGGCTGAATCCCCACAGGTCTCTGCCGTGGACCCCAAAGCAGGGCCCGGAGAACACGCTGGAACGGCCTCTCCGGCTGCCTCCCAGCTGAGCACCGGGGAGCCAGCAGGCCCCTGTGCCAGCACAGCTCATCTGCAAGCACCATCCACGGTGTGGCCGCTGTGGTTTCAGCTGGCTTGCACCTGGCACCTGCCGGATTCCCAAGCCTGGCTATCTCAGGATGGTCCCTCCCCGCCAATGGCGTCTTCCTGCTCAGTTTGGCCCGTGCCCGTGTGGGCACCCAGAACTCCAGCAGGCACGTGACTCCTTATTTTTTTAAAAAAAATTTTCAAGATTTTATTTATTTATTTTTTAGAGATGGACAGGAGGGAGAAAGAGAGAGAGACAGAAACATCGATCTGCGGTTGCTGGGGGCCATGGCCTGCAATCCAGGCATGTGCCCTGACTGGGAATCGAACCTGCGACACTTTGGTTCACAGCCTGTGCTCAATCCACTGAGCTACGCCAGCCAGGGCATGACCTCTTGTTTAAGCAAAAGGGCCACTGCCCATTGCGGCTGCAACTGGCCACACACTCTCATGCTTTCTCAGACCAGCTCGAGCCATGGTTTCTAGACTTGGCCACCTCACGGATGAACAAACTCCTAAAAGCACTCTGAAGGCGCATGCTAGGGTTAACAATTTTGAGTTTTGCATAGTCAGAGCATTTTGTTTTAAAGCCACCCTCTCGTCTTCCCCAAAAGGAAAAGCTGCTTCAACTCCAATACCAGAAGAATAGAAACTGGACGTGAACTTTGAACTGGATAAATTTAGCGTCATGCATTCCTTTGTTGGGGTATTTTTTTCCCCTCCACATTTTTCTCCTGTTCCTTGAATGCCAAGGTGCACACCAGCCCAAGGAAAGGTCTAGAACAAACTGTAGCCTGGGCGCTGCACCTGGCCTCCTGGCCTATTTTGGGAAAGTAAAGTTTCATTGCAAACCAGCCACGCCTACCCACGTACAGAATGCTTCTGGCTATGTCCATGCTCTGCAGTGGAGGTCAGCGGCTGCTATAGAGACCACACAGCACCCAGCACTGAAAATACGTGCCTTCTGGTCCTTGACACGAAAAGGATGCAGACAGTGTGTGTTTCCCATGCCTCCTTCAAACACTCATTTTTACCTTTTCCTCCTCTCATTTCCACCTGAAGGAGCTTCAGGGACACGCAGGCGTCCAGCAGGAGCTCTGTCCCCCGGGAGCTGGCGCCCAGACGGGTGGCCACTGTGTCCGAGCCCAGGAGCTCCGGGGCCTCAGCGAGGACATCAAACACCCCCAGCTCGCAGGCAGCAAAGAGAACCTCGGGACAACGAAAAGGAGGGACTGGAAGAGATCGTTATATGCCTGTGTTCGTGGCGGCATTCTTCACGGTCGCCCAGAGGTGGAGGCAACCCAAGGGCCCCTGGATGGATGGATGCATGGATGGATGGACACCCGGTCCATCAGAGTACAACATTACCCAGCCACGGGAAGGAACGGGATTCTCACACCTGCCACAACGTGGCTGGGCCTTGACCACATTAAGTGGAATGAACCAGATGCCAAAGGACACGCCCAAAGGGATTCCCCTGGAGCCAAAAATCCGCAGAGACGGCAAGTAGAGGGTGCATGCCAGGGGCTGGGGGATGGGATGGGGAGGGAGCGTTTGACCGGCACAGCAGTTCAGTTCCAGACGGAGAGAAGGTCCTGGAGGAGCTGGTGGGGGTTATGCAACAGTGTGGATGTACCTGAAGCATTCGACCCTACACCTCAACACGGCTACCGCGGTAAATCTTGTGTGTCTTTTACCACCATGAAAACTTTTTGTCATGGCACTTCCACCGTGCACTGCGGAGGCAGCCGTGTCTGCTATACCAAGGACTGGAGACATAGCACTGCACTGGGGCTGACCAGACGTCCCAGGGTGACGCCGTCTGGTTGTGGGGAGAGATGCCTGCAGTTCGTATCTGCGTAGTCCGGCTGTGTGTAAGCACACAGCCTGGGTTTCACGTTGTTGATGTTTAATTTTTTGTTAATGTCATGTTCATTTAAAAAAAAAAAAACCGTTATTACCCTGTCACCCAAGGTCTTCCATATTTCCGTATCTGTATTTCGATAAGCATTGTCGGCTGTGTCATCTAATTTTACCGTACGCTTATTAAAAACATCATTCTGAGTGGTGGGGGCAGGGGATGGAAAAGGCGTAAGGCATGGAGAAGTTCAAGTTGGCAGTTGCAGAATAATCCCGGGGAGGGAAGCAGTCACCGCCCCCCCCATCCGCCTCCCCCTCTCCCGTCCAAGGGCACTGAGCACACCCTGTGGCCCCCTCCCCACCCCCGGGGCGCCTACCTGGGAGACCATGAAGCCACAGGAGCAGTGGTCCAGCAGGCTCAGAGCAGCCTGCTCATCGGGGGAGCCCATGTCCTTCCCGCCGCCGCCTCTGGGGGGCCCCGGTGGTCCCGGGTGCAGGGAGCCGGGGTCGTCACCAAGCTTGGGGGTGGCTGGCCGCGCGGGGCTGCAGCAGGAGGCTCTCGCACAGGGCCCACCAGGGACACGAGACGGCCACCGCAGAGCATCCCGTGAGCCTTATGAGGGGGCTGGCAGGGCTTAGGGGGCCCCGCCAGCTGCACAGCACCCTCCAACAATGGCTGACGTCATTCTTAAACGGTATTACTCTGTCTTTACCTTTAATGCTTCTTTGCGTTTCCGCTTCATGAGACATGGAAGAGATGACCTACATCAAAGCGAAAAGTCGGGGGCCAGGAAAGGACGCCGTTGGCGGAACAAAAAGACACCCCAGTTTGTGACAGGGGGTGGTTGCCAACGATCCTCTCCTCGACCAGGGGGTGCGTACCCAAAACACACGAGGAACCCATTCCACGGAAACCCCCAAACCACAGTGAATTGGACTGAAAGTGGGCGGGGGGGGGGCCTGAACACACATTTGTCCAAAAAGGACACTCCGACGGCCCGCAATCACGCCACAGTGCGGAAAAGGCACCCTGATAAAAGTCACTCTCCATTGTTGTTGGAAACCCACCACAAAGTAGGTACGAAGAGACAGTGCCCCAACACAAGAAAGGTTCCCGTTCTTTTGATTCAGTGGTTTCCTTCCTCACTCAAGTATTTCTAAGGTGTGCGTGGTCGTGATGTCAGCTATTTTTATTTCAATGTGTTTAATTTAAAGTTTATCTAATCCATGGAATTGCTGGGGTTTTCCATTCATCGCTTTCATGGTTTTAAAGTTTATTTATTAATTATTTTAGAAATGGGTTTCTTTTAAAAACTTATGTCATTGTTTTTTTTACTTTATTTTCTAATACATTTTATTGATTGTGCTATTACAGTTGTCCCATTTCCCCTCCTTCTCTCCCCTCCACCCTGCACACCCCTCCCACCCACATTCCCCCCTTTAGCTCATGTCCATGTGTCGTAAGTTCTTTGGCTTCTACATTTCCCACATTATCCTTGCCCTTCCCCCATCTATTGTCTCCCTACCGTCTATGCTACTTATTCTCTGTACCTTTTCCCCGTCTCTCCCCCTCCCACTCCCCTGGTGCTAACCCTCCATGGGATCTCCATTTCTGTGGGTCTGTTCCTGTTCTAGTTGTTTGCTTAGATTGTTTTTGTTTTTGTTTTAGGCGTGGTTGTTAATGATTGTGAGTTTGCTGTCATTTTACTGTTCATGTTTTTTTTTTTTATCTTCTTTTCCTCAGATAAGTCCCTTTAACATTTCATATAATAAGGGCTTGGTGATGATGAACTCCTTTAACTTGATGTTATCTGGGAAGCACTTTATCTGCCCTTCCATTCTAAATGAGAGCTTTGCTGGATAGAGCAATCTTGGATGTAGGTCCTTGCCTTTCATGACCTGGAATACTTCTTTCCAGCCTCTTCTTGCCTGCAAGGTCTCTTTTGAGAAATCAGCTGATGGTCTTATGGGAACTCCTTTGTAGGTGACTGTCTCCTTGTCTCTTGCTGCTTCTAGGATTCTCTCCTTCATTTTAATCTTGGCTACTATAATTATGATGTGCCTTGGTGTGTTCCTCCTTGGGTCCAACTTCTTTGGGACTCTCTGATCTTCCTGGAAGTCTATTTCCTTTGCCAGATTAGGGAAGTTCTCCTTTATTATTTCTTCAAATAAGTTTTCCACTTGTTGCTCTTCCTCTTCTCCTTCTGGCACCCCTATGATTCAGATGTTGGAACGTTTAAAGGTGTCCTGGAGGTTCCTAAGTCTCTCCTCATGTTTTTAAATTCTTGTTTCTTCATTCTGTTCTGATTGATTGTTTCTTTCTTCCTTCTGGTCCACACCGTTGATCTGAGTCCCAGTTTCCTTCCCATCACTATTGGTTACATGTATATTTTCCTTTATTTCAGTTAGTGTAGCCTTCATTTCTTCATCTAATTTGTGACCAAATGCAACCAATTCTGTGAGCATCCTGATCACCAGTGTTTTGAACTGTGCATCCGATAGGTTAGCTGTCTCTTCATTGCTTAGCTGTATTTTTTCTGGAGCTTTGATGCGTTCTTTCATTTGGGTCATTTTTTTTCTTTTGATCTCCGTGCACCAGTGATGTATGAGGGGCGGAGCCTTAGGTGTTCACCTGGGCTGGGGCAACCCACGTCGCTGCGTTGTGACGCTGTACGTGGGGGAGGGTCCAAGAGGGAACAATGGCGCTTGCTCCGCTCTCTGCCGGCTTTCAGTCCCTTCCCCCGCTTCCCACAAGCAAACGGGGCCCTTCTGGTGCTGGTTCCTGGGTGAGTGGTCTGTGTCCATTCTCGGACCCTGCGGGTCTCTCCAACAGACTCTCCCGAGAGGCTGGGAGTCTCTCTCCCGGCCGCCTCGACCCCCACAGGTGTTTTCAATCAGGTGTGAGGCTTTATTTTCCCCAGAACCCTGGGTTGCGAGGTCTGTCTCGCTCCCCAGTTGTCCCTCCCGGTGTATCTGCAAGAAAATGTGGGACCGCCTGCTCCGCCGGCCGCCGCCTGGCCGCAGGTCCTCTCCGCCCGGCTGCCCGTCTCGGCCCCTCCCACCACCAGCCTGGGTGAGTGTGTCCTCCTTCTCGCCTTGGTTGTCGGACTTCCGTCCGGCTTCGATGTTCTCTCAGGTCTGGTTGCTGTTCGTTTTTAAATCGTTGGCGTCCTTCTTCTGGTCGTGCGAGGAGGCGCGGTGTGTCTACTCCCTACGCCTCCATCTTGGCCGGAAGTCCTGAAAATCTACGTCATTGTTTTCATAACGTGTTTCTGTTCTGAATTTCATGTCACCTAACTAGTTTAGTTTAATTTGATTTCGTGTGCACGGGTCCTCCCTTGTCCCAACACCGCGCGAGCCTTTGGGCCTTCGTGCTCTGGGGTGAGTTCTGTGGCTGCAGCGTGCCCAAGGCCTCACGTCTGCCCACACCTGCCTGTGGGTCTGCGGTCCGCTCCGTCTGTCCGTCCGTCTGTCTGGGGGCTCTGGGCCACGCCCACATCACCGTGGTCTGGGCGACGTCCCCGTAAATCCACACCAAGCCCCCGGTCCCCGGCCCGCCACCACACACACAGCCGGGTCTCACTGTGTCCCGTGGCTGCATGCCTCCTGCCCTCATCTCCGGCCATTCCGAGGTCCTGGATGCGGGGGGCCAGGACCACGGCCTGCTCCTCAGAGGAAGGCGGTGCCGGCTGCGGCTTTCCCCCGGAACACCCCTGAGCTCCCCTGGACGCCGGCGTCTCTACTACGGCGTTGCTCTGGGGCGGAGGTGTCGAGCTCACTCTCACCGGGGGCCCCATCAGCCTCGAGGTCGCCTTCCAGGGCCCGAATGTCATTTCAGCTCCTTAACCCCTAAGCGGGTAAGTACCGGTATACAGAGCTAAAGTTATTTCAGCCCTTGGCAGGCGACCGTGAGGCTGATGGGGCCCCCAGAGAGAGTGAGTTGGATGCCCTTGCTTTAAGGGGCCACTGCTGGTGGGTGCGAACACGGTTGATTTCTCGTGTGTCTCTCTGGGCAAGCAAAGTGATCTTTTGCTTCACTGTCTTGTTTCTACTTGAGTAATTAAAATGTGTGGGTGTGATTAAGACATCGTGGCCTCTCTTTCGCAATTCGGCGAGTCAGGAGGAGGAGGAAACGCATGTGGGGTCAGTGTGTATGAAGGAAGTCGAAGGCATCTACTGTATCTCTTGTGGTGACTCCCACATCGGGTTAGATTTCCGTGAGCATGTTCTTGTTTGGGCTTCTCCTGCCTTTTTCTTGCTCTGGGCTGAATCAGTCCCACCCGGGGTGGGGGTGGGGGGGCGTCAGCCTCCCCCCTGTTTCTGATACTGGGTTTCCTGCACATGCAACGCCCAGAGGGGGTGGCCGACTTTCCCCACCCGGGAGCCCACCAACAGCTCAAGACCCCCTACGTGTCTGGCCTGAGTCTGGGGACCGGTCCCTTGTTCGGGGCTGGAGGGCAAGTGCGAAGGGTGAGCACCCCCCACCCCCCGCCCAAAGGGGTCTGGCTGTGAGGTCGAGTGGGTGACACATGCTGTGAGACATCGGGGGAGACAGATGAGCTTGCAGGGAGCATGGGCATCAGCGGAGGTTAAGAGGATTGTAGAACTTTCACACCATCTTACCGGGGGGCCGAGGGGGCGGATGTGGCGACGGGCCACAGATGGCGTTCGCTTGATTAGATTGTCAGCGGCCTTTGTTAAGCCGGCCAATCCCCCCCGAGCTGCGGAATCTTCCCTTAAGAAGATGAGTTTGGTAATGAGATCGAGCGGTGGGAGGGCCGGGGACGCACTCCCTGGAGACTGGACCGGCCCCATGTCTGAGATTCAGGGTCGGTGCCTGGAGTGCCCCCTCCGCAGGCACGGGGTCTCTTAAAGACTTTATTGACTCTCAGAGCGGCGGGGAGGAGGGAGGGACAGGGACATCGCTCAGTTGCTCCTGCTGAGAATGGAGCCAGCAACCTAGGCACGTGCCCTGACCGGGAATAGAACCCTCAACCTTGTGCTTTGCAGGACGATGCCCAGAGTCTTGCAGCCAGGACGAGGTGCCACCGTGACAGACGAGACCTCCCGGGGGGCCGCGTCTACAACAGACAAGAACGGATAAGCACCTGGCCGCTGCGTGTTTCTGGGGGACGCACCCACGCCCTCCAGCTAGACTGTGGTGGTAGTCATCGCACCGCATACACCAGGAAAAAAAAAATGGTGCTGAATTTTACCCACTTTACACGGGTGGGATATTTGGGCATGTGGATTATGTCTTCACAAGGCTGCTTTTTAAGCCCCCCCCCCTTTTTTTTTTTTGGAGACTCGTGCTCAATCTAAAACAGAAAATGTAGAGATTTCTGCTATCTACGCCAGCTTTCTCGGCATAGCCCCGCCCCACCAGGAAGGCTGTGGTTTTTAAGAAAAAATCGTATGTGGGACATTAGGAGCCATCACGTGCAAGTGG